AGTATACAAGTGCAAAAATCAATATCAAAGGATTGATTGTTGCATAAGTAATAGTTATCACAAGAATTAGAATATGACTGGGATAATAGAAATAAAATTGAAACGGCCAAGGGTTAGTCGCACGTTTAAGCATGCGCGGAGTTGTGGCTATGAATCTGGATGTAAGGATTATATGAAGAAAAATCTGCGATCCAACTTGAACAAGTTCAAAACCATGCGTACAAATGTTAAAGATGACGTAATTGATGAAAAAAGTTGCCCCCTAATATATTTAAAAAAAAAAATTAACATTAATAATTGTTTAGCATCATTATATCAGATATGTATAATTATTTTAATAAATTACCTTGGGCAAACTGGTAGCAAGCAACTCAATAATATTAGTGGGATTAGTAATCATATCAAAAATTGATTGTAAAAATGTAATACCCAATAAAAATACTATGAAAACATTAAAGAAGGCAAAATGATAAAATCGAACTAATACTGCTTCTTCCAATTCTGAATAAGATGCGAAACATTCTTGTTTTGAAATTTCTGCAATATATATATATATACAAGTGAATGTCAGTGAAATATGAATATTTTGAATTATCTTGAATGAAATAAGCATACCCATTAAAATCCACGTAAAAAGAAACCTGATAACAATCAAATTCAAAGTTCTTCAGAACAAAATAATAACATTAATAGACATTACACTACTCCTAGTGAAGATATTATGAGTCAAGAGGATGGTTATGGTCGCCAATTTTTAATATGGGATTCGCTTGCCCATATATCTAAGCCTGTGCTTGACAGATTTCAACCCATTCGTAGGTTGGGATTTATGAATGGAGGGAAGCTTCGTTCGATTGATCATTTTCTTAAAAAATTTAATTATTTGGATCGTCGCATCGCTGAATTGCGTTCTATCCCAATTAATGGTTCTACGGGTCCTTATAAGGCTACGGGTACTGGCTTTGTAACTTTTCGTGATCATATCAGTGCTCAAATCTGTGCACAAAGCATTATAAGTTCAACACCACATACTTGTACTACAAGAATGGCTCCAGAGCCAAGAGACCTACTTTGGGAAAATTTAATTATGCGATTTCGGGAGAATATAATCCGTTCTATTATTGTTAATGTTTGCGTTTGGTAAGTTTAATCTGTGTTTTTGAGTGCTTGTTTATTTCAGAGTTCAGAGTTTTTTTTTTTTTAATCACTCATTATCAAATTGCGTATTTTATTAGGGCTTTGACAATATTTTGGCTTTTTCCGATTTTTGCTTTCCTTACTCTAACATCAATTGATTCTCTTTCTCAACGAATTTCTTTTTTGGGTGCTTTTTTGGATGCTAAACCCGCGATACGTACCAGTAATTGATAATTATATAAAGATAAATTATTTGTTGTACAGTGGCTACCTGGTAATCCCTAATTATATTATAATTAAAATTTAGATCAAAGATTTTTTAATTGATTTTATTGATTTTTACCTGGATTCTCACCGTTATAGATAGCAATTCAGGTAATTCAGGTTTTGCAATTAAGGCCAAGTTTCAATAGTACATAAAATCTACGTATATTGATATAAATACTATCGATATAAATATACATACATATATATATATTTTTAACTATAACGATATATAATAATAAAATTTTAAATTTATTTCACTTTTAAAAGAAAACGAACGCATACTAAAAAACAATACTTGTTACGTACAATAAACCTGTTGGAATAAATATTGTTTACAAGAATATTGTGTAAAAGAATTTTACAGATGAGTTGATTATCAAGTTTTATAAACTGTTTCATTAAGCTACATAAGGTAGTCGCGACTAAGTTGGCTTAGTTGCCGATACAAAAATTTCGGTTGGCTAACTTGGCAAGCTTCAGTGTGTCGAATTTGATTAAGTCATAATATCGTTAGGGATATTTTTAGATGCTAGAAATAGTCGAACACTCTGCCAAGCCTTGTCGGAAATGTCCAGAAATTAGACACTAATTAGACAATCAACTCATTATAGCCTCTATGATCACAATGTCGGGAATGACTTATTTAAAAAAAGTGCTTAAAACCGACTATTTCTTCGTACGTACGTACGTACATATGTACCGTACCGTCGCGGAAATATGGTAAACAGGAGCGACCGCTCATAATTACACGTGATTGTCAACCGATTGTAGAGGTCATTTAGAGAGGGTGCACTTAGAGAGGTCTGACTGTATTTATCAATCGTGTAACCATATCAAAATCGTCTACGAATTTGAACGGTCGCTCCCGTTCATCTTGGTCTATAAGCCATTAATATTTAATGAAAATCGGAATATCCGAATACGTATATAATTACTCATCGATTAACTTAATGAATGCTCATTGATAAGATAATTAGCACCTATAGGATTTCATTTTGAGTTGAACCGTGTTGATTTTGATTTACATAATGTAATTGAAAAAAACCAGGAATTTTTCCTGAAAAATATTAGTTGATCAACAAGAACTCTGATTATAAATTAAATAAAGCAACCAATTTTTTAAATTTTAAAAATTCGAAGTCCAGTCCAGTCATTCGTGTCTTTGTCTTAAAAATCACCTTACGATATTTCCCGATCGGGATAATTCGAACAAAAATACGTAACGGTTCATATTTACGATAATAATAAAAGTAAGATGCGATTTACATATAAAGACAAACCAGTATTTTGTCGAATTAGTCCAATCGGAAAATGTCGTAAGGTGATTTGTGATTTTCAAGGCAAAGATACCATTGCTTTATGATTAATTCTCGTTATAACAAAGGAACAAAAAAAAGATCAAATATATTTTCTTAAAAAAAGTTTCTTTGTTAGAATAAATGGGTTTGGTGCTGAGAAAGGACGCAATTGATGAAAAAAAGTTTTGTGGAAATTGATTTTTATATTATAAATCCTATAAATAAATTATAAAAACTTTAAAGAATTATATATACTGCAAAATTTTATTAAAATAACCGTATTTGTTCCCTAAGTGAAAAATGTTTATACGTAGATGAATTTTAGATTAGGAAGCTCAAAAAAAATTTTTCAAAAAAAAATTTTTTTTGAAAATTGTCATAGCCCAAATGTATTCGTAACAACTGTATTAGCGAATAGAGTAAATTGTTACAAATAAGCGTGTAACATGTTACGATTAGATTCGTCCTTTAAAAAGCCTATCTCATTATCTCATTTATGAAGTAACATAAGATCTAAAAGTCTATAATCTATTATCCTAATGTTCATTGTGAAAAGATTCATTAAAACATATAAAGTTTTTAATTTAACCGTTTTTATTACAGAATAATTCGAGTTTTTTTTGATGGTGATTGTATCATCATTGAATAACGAAATTATTGCAATTCTACACACTAAAAGTTCTTTGCATTATCTGAAATATTATATACATATGCACGTGGTCCAGCAAAGCATTTTTTATTTAGGTTTGTTCTGTTAGTGTTTTTTCTACGATTATAATGTACGTAGAAATTTTATTTTCTAAGCAAAGTACCTCTAGGCTGTCTCATATATATAGTGACTATGGCGTTTTGAAGATATAGACAGTTCTAATTTTTATTTTTAACTTGTGAAATGCTATGTCCAAAAGAAGAAAGTTAGTCTATGTCACTCGGTAGTGATGTAAACGGCTCGAGTCGAGCCCCGAGCAATCTAATCCGTTATGACTTATACGCAATATATGGGGTCTTTGCCTTGAAAATGACCTTACGGTATCATGTACCGTAAGGTCATTTTCAAGG